CTGCAGGTTTACCCGTCTCAATGTCCCGACAACAAACCTCCATGCAGTCGGAACCAGCCTGTTTCGGTTCAACGACGGTGGTGGCGGCGGTTTTGACAGTCTCTGCGGCCGCAGAGCTGCTGCTTTTGGGTTCATCTGGCTTCGCTGGTTCTATGATTGATGAAGGTCCAGGCTCCGGAGACGTGGATGTCAGGGATGTGACCTTCCAGTTGTTAATTTAAGTTTAGATTGACTGTATAGTTTTCTTCTGCGCTGGTTCTTCTGACTTGTTTGCAAGTGTATATATTTTTTCTATCTAGGTTAACGGCTGACACACACAGAACAACGTGACAAATAAAGTAAACAACGTAACAAATAAACAAATCTAAGCTTTTTTATTGGTTGTAATTTACATGGATACATTTGAATGGTGTGACAATGTCCTATTTGATTGGGTTAAAATGTACATATTCTTCCTGTTATGTCTGCCTGCTTTATTTTACCTAATGCAAAGTGACCTGCTCCATCGAAATCAGTGGCATTGACCCGAAGACACATTTTGAGTTGTATACACAGTTGGAGAGAGGAGATTCATAGCTTTCTAATGATATCAGGATTGTTGTTGTAGGCTACTCCAAATATTAAGCAAAATATGTCACATTATATAATGACTGTTACAGAGTCATCATTTTGAGAAAAAGGCCTTTAAAGTTTCCTTTTCTCTGGATCGATCTGATTGATTATTAGCGGAGCAAATGATCAAAATAGTACGAAGGGAAGATAGGGGAAGCCCGCGAGTGTGTGAGTGTATACGTGTGTGTTTGTGTATTTTTGCGTTTGTGTGTATTGTGTTTGTTTCCCGGGGAAAACACTCACGAGAAACACCGGCTGTTGTTATGCTTGCTGTGACGTCAAGTTACTCCGTTGCTTGTAATTATGCCGTTACAAGCTTCAACGTTGTATTTATCATCTGAATTTGCCAAAACAAGTTTAATATTCTGAAAGCCAAGACTTTGTTTATTTGAAATCAGATGAAAACAAACTGTAACGGGCCCTGCCGTGTTATCTATGATTACTATACGCCTTACATTCATAATTTCAGCAGAGGGAGGGGAAGCGGCGCTGTGGAACAGCAGAGTGGCGAGTGAGAGCTTTACAAGCTTAAAAAATGCCTGTAGCTAATGAGATTGAATATAACAATCAAACATAACAAAATATACACAGCTATATCAGATCGCGTTTTAGATGCGACTTTAGAGTAGAGGGGAATTATTGAAACGGGATTTGTACAGTGTTCCACGGCATCCGCCGCTGCGAAAATGTGGGGCAGGGCTGAAAAGTGGGGGGGCCAATGGCCCCCTGGCCCCCCCGCTTCCGGTGCCCTTGATACGGACCCGGACCTATACTCAATACATCCGGCCCACTGGGAGCACAGAACCAGTGTGTCTCATTTGTTCAGAGACCGTGGCGCTCATTAAAAGCAGAATACAAAAATCAAGTAACTCTATTCAGCTCGCGTTATATTTGAAAAACGAGTAATCTGATTACAGTTACTTTCGTAAACCTGAAGTGAATACATTTTGGAATACTTATTGGAATTATTGGTGGAAAAGTTTCCTCATAAAATGTAATATTCATTACCAGCAGAACTGTGTGCGCACTGCACAGCGCTGCAGCATGTCTGTGAGGCCCCGCCCCCGCACGCAGATCAGAGAGAGATCTCTTTTAAAATATATTGAAAGTTAGAAACGGAGATGGTTCGATAAAATGTGCAAGATAACGTTTATGTAGCATTTCTTTATTGTCGAAATGATGACATTTCATAACGGGATCAAATCAAAGTGAATGGCCTGCTGCTGCTGAATGCATGGGGCAAGTGACTGGAAACAGTTTTAAAAGTTATTACGTCGTTTCAGATAATAAATAATAATGGTAATTCATTCTATTTAGGGGCGCCTTTCAAAGCACCCAAGGACACCTGACAATTCATAACATATTCCAAGGAAAGGTTTAAGAGAGTACAAATAATGCAGTCCTGGTGATGTTTTTTATGTGGGGTGCAGATGAGAGGGAGCTGTCCAGAATGACACCAAGATGTTGTGTTTGAGTTGTGCTCTTGATAAGCCATTAAAACAGTAAAATTAAGTGTCTCCTGTTCACCAAAACATACCCATCTGTTATGGAAAAATAAAGTATTCCAAAAGTATTCTAAAAGTAATCTGAATACGTTACTTTTTTAAGACACGTAACTCTAACTGTATTCGGATTACTTTCAGAGCCATGTATTCAGTAACCGATTACATTTACAAAGTAACCCTCCCAACCCTGATTAAAAGTGCCAAAACCCCACTATGAGACAAAACACAAAGTGTTTGACCAAACATTCCCTCTCAAGTCAGAACTGAGGTCACAAAAAATAAGCAGTCTCAGAGCCCAATATGATCAGTCCACCAGGATCGAAATTAAAACTAAATATGGTTCCAGGGCAGGCTAACCGAGGCTAACCGAGGCTAACCAATGAGCACCTGCATGTGTGTATGAGAATGGCCCTGACACCATTTCAGCCCAGATTTAAACTCCTGGCAGGACAAGCTCGAGCTCAATTCTCGCACTGAATACAAAAAAGTGAGTGAGGGACTGCAATATAAGAGAGAAAGAAAGAGAAACTTTAAAACTGTTCAATTGTTATGATGTGTAAAGACTGATATGTTCTATAATCGTCTGAAACTGTTAAGTCATGATGTGAAACGGTTAACAAAGCTATTTTATTTATTTCTCTATTTTATTTTTTAAATGCAGCCCGAGAGGAACATTACACATATCCACAGTATTTACTGTATATCTGTATAGTTCAATGTTCATTGACAATAAATATTGTTGTTTTTTTAATTGTACTTTCTTTATTTGATTGGCAGTCAGTTGTTGATTACATGCAGACGTTGATACAGCTACAGGCTACTTCAATATATATCACACTAATTCATAAAGCAACTTAGACATTTTGATGTTCCGGACCTTTGCATGGGGAGATTTTCTCTAACTGGACCTCGTTGAATTTTAGTTGAATACCCCTGCTCTACGGTGTCCCCACTGAGGAGTGTGTTCTCTCATCACTGAAAACACAAGTATGCCAATCTTTGCCAAACCAGCGAGGGACAGTTTATACCTGTATGCATGCTGAGGTTTTATAGCTGTTTATTGTCAAAGTTGTTGGACGATGAGAAGCAAAATGTTCTGTTTCGCATTGAGGATGATGGTCGTCTCTGGTATTACTGTTATTTTTTAACATAAAGAACAAAAGTCATTTAGACAAAATTGCTGCTAGGATTGAAATAAGCATTTTGTATTATCGACCTGGGAGTACAAATGTTTCTCATTTTGTGCAGCTCTGCCATCCATCAGCTGGCCCATGGAGGCAGGGAAGCACAGTATCGTGTTTTCTGGCTTTTCTTTTTGTAGAACTGGATAATGAGTCTGTGTTAGACTTCCTATAGGCTACTTACAACAAATGAACCCATTCAAAACATAGTCGATATTATATAAGCCAAACATCCATTTTCAACTGCCATTTATCACAGAGAAGATGTAAAACACAGCCAGATTTATTCAAAGCACATTATTTATTGAAGTGGCTTCAATCGATTCAGAACATTTTATTATTATTTACTTGTATTTTGGGGGAGATAAACAAATACCTGTGGTGTTGTAATTAAAAAAAGTGCATGACAAACTGGTGAGAGAAATTGGAGGGTCAACTTAGTTTTGACAATTTCAGAATTAATAGCATTAACTCAGACAAGTTTCCAACACATCGACAAGGCTGCTGTCGGAGGGGGGCTCTGTGGTTCCCATCTGTATAATGTGCGCTACAGGGCGTCTGCCTGTATGGTAGTTTTCACATAGTGAGCAATCTATGTTCCTACAATGGTGACTGTCTGCTAGTTCCATGGATGTATAAAAACAAATGGATGGAGTTGCTCTATGGGGCATGAAGCCCAAAATGGAGTGACTGGAGATGTATAGTTCACCTTAAGCCCCACGTCTGATCTCCCGCTCTCTGCTCAGTCAAATGAAAAGAGAGGGAAAATAGATAATGATTCAGCTTTTAGCGCATTTTACTTTTAGGACCCTAATGATTTAAGGGCCATATGTTTTCATACTGGGTATTTTATTCAGCAAAAAATGAAGCCGCTGACGTCACTTCTTCTTCTTCTGCTTTGGGTTTACTGGCAGGCCGCAAACCACTTCACGGCGTATACTGCTTAATTAATTAGTCAGATTAACCCATTCAATGTAAAACTGGAGTAAATATGCCATGTCGCTTGAAGTAATCGGAGGAATAAGCAGAATTGTTGTGGACCCTATAGTTTTCTGCTACTTCAGCAGATGTGAGTTGTTCATGCCTTCACAGCTCTGACTGTGAGGCAGAAAACAAAGCAAAGGTCAAACCTACGGTATGTACATTTCCTGGGGACGAGGCACTACTTTATGGACAAAACAAACATCGGAGAGAAAAATGGCGATGATACAATTTGCAGTTGCAGAGCCAGTTTATGTGCTTTACTCAGTTATGATTTTATTGTTAGAATCACCAAATACAAGCCCTCTCTTCAATGTATATCGTATTATACAACTGGTTATGTAACTCTATGTTGCAAAAAAAAACTAAAAAAAAACTCTGAAGACTTTGCCCCCCTAACAAATACTTCCAACTCACTGCAATTTTACATTTTCTAACCTTCACCCGTGACAAAAGGTTACATTTAAAGAGTGCAACTGGAGCTCGGGTAGAGTTGTTTTTCTGTTGAACTCACCTTTGCCTCCTCTCTCGTTCAGTCAGAGCTCTTGTGTTGGGCTCTAAGTGCCGCCCACACAGCTTCCCCACAATTACTGTAGTCTCCAAATGTCAACTTCCCACTGTGCCGCCACTAAAAAAAGGGACAGGCAGAAAGACATACAGCAGGACACATGTGCTCCGTTTGTTCACGTACTGCTTCTAACATTCACAAATGACAGAGCAGATTGTTGCACATGTGTTTATTACAGTGATGTATCCCCACACCAGCTGGTTCTCCCAGACAGATCTTACAGTTCAAAACGAAACATTGACAACTGGATTTACATTGAATCCAAACAAATAAAAAAACGGACTTCAACATTAACATTTCAATTTACATTCAAATAAAAGGAAATAGAAATAAGCTTGAATTATACACCTGTATTCACTACAATATCAGAAAAGGCTTCATCCTGGCAGGCTGGAGACTTGAGGAGGAGTTCACGAGTAGGATTGATGTAAAGCTACATAAATCATGCCTTATCCTGGTTTGGACATTGTAAAGTTAGATGAATAGATTCAAAGTGTTGCACATTTGCAGTTTACAAATCGTTGTCTTCCCTATTTAAACAAGAGGAAGATGCATTGTCACAATGATAGAAGACTTGAAATGTATTGAAAATGTAGTAATCTCAATTCTAAAAACGTTATATTAAATGTATTCTTTACTGAACTGCAATACCAAACAGTGATACGATAGAGTGGTAAAGGATTAAGTCTTACAACCCAGAAATAAGTTAGTATTCTATCATTTCTGGTTCCTTCGTCTGGAATAAGTTATGTGGTTAACACAAGCTGAAGAGACTAACACTTTTTGTTCTACAGTATAAAATACGTCAGTAAATACCCAACGGTGAATGTCTGAAGATTCTATGTATCATAAGAATGGTGGTTGCTAACAAGTGACTAATGAGAATACTAAACGTCACCCATTAGCCACCTTTAGCTTAGCCGTGGAGACACAAAGCCATGCGACCGTCATGGAAGTCGTTTATAGCGTAGCTTTAGCTGTTCACTTCAGGCGATAGTTTTACGCTTAAAAAAGTGGTGTTAATATGTGGAGGATTATCCTGCTGAACAAAACGTGTGAAGTATCATAAATGTGTGTTTAACACAGGGCCTATTTTCTGCAATATTCCGCAATCCAATGGAGAAATCCCATTGGTTTTTGTTGAGGGAGCCCTTGTTATGGTTACTTCCTGGTCAGCCTAAAAAAATACGTCTTCACTGCACTGCTCCACTGCATTACATTTAGTATGTTTAACCACGATCACATCAGAACTACTAATGCCTTTTTATAACTGTCATCCATCAGTAATTTAGCTCAAAAACTGCAAAATGCTATCTCTATCAATAACGTTGGATTCCTTAAAAACCTTGCCCACTTTTTCTTCTATTAATAATCACAGTTAACCTATCGTAATGGGAGAACCACCTGTCTTTACTGCAAAGCACCTAAGCAAAAGGAAGGAAACCAAGCGAAGCTGAGATTGTTGGACCTGCAAAAATAATCCACAAAGATTCCTCAAAAAGAGCCGGTAATAAAGCCGACTCCCAGTGGAGACGCAGCCTTGAAGCCTTTCTCTTACAGCTGGAGAGCCTCACCACGGAGTACAAACACGGGCAGTCCTAATGAGGAGGAGAGGAGTCTGGGAAAGAGCTCCCTCAGACAACATGAGGAGAAGAGCTCCTCCTGATATGCTAATCATGTCCTGAGCTGTATAACTAGAAGCTGGATTATAACCAAATGTCAGAAATGATGATGATGAAACCATTCACGGGATCTACTTCAACAGTGTTAACCTTCCCAATCGCTGCCAGATAGTTTAAAAGATCAAACTCATTGACATTTATAGTAATGACCCCTTCAAAAAAAGGAATGTATCAAAGATTTGAGTACATATAGGAAGCGAGAGAAGCTCCTAAAGTGAATGTCAGGGGAATGTCTACGAAGTGAAATAGACCGTCAGTTTTTGGCAGATCTTGGATCTCAAGCCAATAAAATGAAAGATCCAAATGAAAGAGAAATGCAAAGAGGGTGAAAGAGTATAAGTGAAAATGTGGAGTCAGTGAAAAGGCTTTCCAGCTATAGAAACTTTGAAACTCAAAGAGGATTGGGATAAAGAAACAGAACCCTATTTTTGTCTATGGAGGAGAGTCCTCGTTCTTTTTATCCCACCTCTCTCTCACATCTATCAGCATCCTGAAATGTCTTTGGTTTTGTTGCGTCTTTGGAAGCGTGTGTCAACGGGGTCGAAGCCTTGCTCAGTGGCTCCGAAGAGAGCCCAGCTGGGGGTCTTGGCCATGTAGTCCAGGGCAGAGAAGCCCTGCTGCCCCCCGCTCTCCTCCTGAGCCTGGACCAGCTCCTGGAAACGCTCGTAGTCGATCCAGGTCCACCACTCGCCCTCCACCTTGAACTGAAAACACACAAAGAAGAGAGACAGGAACAAGGAGTTAGTTGAGCGAGCGTTGGTTTCACACGTCTCTACACAGATTGTAATCCGTTAACCTATGAGCTGCTTTCAGCCGTTCATTAGGACTTTTTGAACACTTGTCCAAAACCATTACCAATCCAACTCGGGGTGCCATTAATGTAACACAGACTCACCAAACAGAAATAAACTGCTGGGTCTGTTCTCCAAAATCACATTTGTTACAACCGGAATGCTTGTTTTTATTTATGCTTCTGGGGGTTCTCCCTTTCCTGCAGTGTGTTATATACTATAGGTTTTTGTAAATGGTCTGCAAAGGCCACATTTCTAAAGTTCCCTCCAGAGAGAGTTTCTTTCCCAATGATGGGAAAGAAAGATCTCTAAAGATGTATTTGAAACATTATGATAATTGTACAGCCTGAAATTTAGAAATGTCATTTGTTAAACTTTTAAAGGACCTGCAGATGAGCACAAAAGCTAGCAAAGAATATCAACCTTCTCTATAAAGCACAATTTATACAAATGGACCTAAGCCATATGCTCGGATAAATATAGAAAACATTTACAAATACTAAAGAGGTAAGAAAGAAAGTGTTGCGTATCCTGAATTTATCCAAAATATTTTTTGAAACGTGATCAAAAACACCAACATTGCCGCGTTATGGAGCTTCTCCCTAACTTCTCCTGCCACTTGCTATACGTTTAGTCTTTAAATTGATTCACCAGCTCCACCGCCTCACATCCTTTTATCAATCACTGCTACTCCTTCACCCCACTTGGCATCCATCTTGTTAAAGAGAAAGAAGAAGGAAATAAATGGACACGAGGAGAGCGAGGAGCTGAAAGATTGTGTGTGTGTGTGTGTGTGTGTGTGTGTGTGTGTGTGTGTGTGTGTGTGTGTGTGTGTGTGTGTGTGTGTGTGTGTGTGTGTGTGTGTGTGTGTGTTTGTATTTGCAGAGCGGTGTTTGACAGTGAGGGAAAAGCCTGACGATATTCTGCCTCTCTGATCCTGCTCGTTTCCCTAGTCAAGTGCACGGTGTAAAAAGTGACCTTTGATTTCCCAAAATGCAACAGTGCCTTCCAATTGATACACTATTATGTTGACTTTGTGGGCTGCACAGGTGGGACAGACTGAGAAGAAACCGAGAGCGAGCACAGTAGGTACAGTACAGCACAACCTTTCCTCTGAAGCGGGGTGTAGAACATTCTGAGCCTTTTTTAGTTTGATGACTCAGTCATGGGTTTTATTTTGACAGCATCCAACGTGGTGCCTAGTTATCCCTGGGGACAGATGCTTTGCTTTTAGCTCTCAACATTTAGCATCTAAAAGCTCCTTCAGGTCCAGGGCTGCTTTTGCCAGACCCCCAAGTGAGCACTGCAGCCTGCTTCTTTAAAATCCTCTCGCTCACTGAGAGCCACACATCTTGCTGCAATTCACACGGGAGGGGGAAAAGCGCCAATAATACATCACAGACTTTCAGGGGAAACAGCAACTCAAAATGACACAAAAACACTTATAAAAAAGGACTAACATTTATCTGACAAGTTAAAGCCTTTCCTCCCAGGCAGGACGGCCCACTGAGGAAATCACAACGTTGAGCCTTAAGATGCCTTGCGCCTGCCTCGGCCATTAGAGGAGAGAAACCCACTGCATAGCTAATGAGGCCTGAGAAACGGGGGGGAAATGAAAGCGGCGCCTATCGGGAGTTAATGTTTCTGGTAATGATGTTTGTTTAGCCAGCATCTCTGCAAACAGTTTCAATCTCTAAGCAACAAAGCTGTGCCGGTTGTTTTTACTGACAGCATCTCTGCTGAGGATCAGTGAGGACGGATCGCTCACCGAGCGCCACAGGAGCTATACGTGCCAAAGAGCTGTAAAGTACTTCCACACACATTCACAGAGAGCTAATGAAATACCTTCACATCTCTTCTGTTCTCAGGAAATTAAATTCAAGTCTTTCCACTACGGCATTGCTCTGTTAAGACGATTACCGAGAAACTGGTTCCCAAAAGGGGGAACAATTTATTAAATATACTTATACGTATTTTGTGTGTGTGTGTTAGACTGTCCGTTGAAGTTGGCCAAAAAAAAAAAGTTTAAAGCCAATATCCACTTGACGTTAAACGGGGACATGTATACGTATGTTATGTTGCACATAGGCTTGCTGAAGCAGCCACAAAAAAAACATCAGCACAGGATAACCTGCCTTCCTGCCATGTTGTACAGAAGCTTGAAAAGCTTTTTAACGTATAACAGTTGAAATTAGAAATCAGGGGGGAGTATTCTGACTGCTGAGTGAAATCTACGGAATCACATATCAACACTAACACAAATCATTTAACCAACTGAGAAGGAGCTATACCCTGTTACGGGTTCCACATGTCTACAAAAAACACTATAAAGACTGAATGTACCATGATAACAACTGTACATTTCGAGCTTCATTTTCATCTCTAAAGGGACAATGGAGCAATCATCTTGCAGTATGCTCCTACCTTCATCATTGAATGGGCACAGACTCTTTGAGTGTGCATGTGCCAACCTTGTGTGCAGCCTGTTGCAGCTTTTAACTTTCTCACGTGTTCTTACTTGTTATTTTACTGTTAATAACAACTATTAGTAACTTGTTAAGCTGTGCCCTCTCTTAATATTCTTGTAGAGAAAGATTGTGTGTTGCCGTTGAAATGCAGCTGTTGTGCATCCAAACCTATGTTGTGCAGACATTGCAAGCCTTGTTTACACCACAGAGATGCTAATCGTGCTAAAGCCGGCTAGCATGTTGGTCAGAACAGAGGCTTTCCTCACAGAAATCTGGAGGACACAGGATGAAGGGTAAACCGAAGACAAAAAGGGTTTCTGGGTCCTGATTCAAGGAGATGTATATGCCGTGTCTACCCCCTCTCATCGTCTGCAACATTAGATCAGTGGTTAATAATGGAAACGGCCAGGAGTCAAATGGAATAACGTAAGTGTTTATGAAAACATGGATATACTGTATCTGATGACAACGTTTCCATCAACAAGGATTCCATCAACAACATGTTGATCAACGTTTCTATCGGTGGCTTCCAGACTGTTTGATCTGACAAGGATTGCCATGAGAGCTTCATCATGTCTTCACCATGAGTCTGAGTCTTCACCATGAGCCTGAGTCTTCATCATGTCTTCATCATGAGTCTTCACCATGAGCCTGAGTCTTCATCATGTCTCCACCATGACAACATATCTTCACCATGAGCCTGACTCTTCATCATGTCTTCATCATGAGTCTTCACCATGAGCCTGAGTCTTCACCATGAGCCTGAGTCTTCACCATGAGCCTGAGTCTTCATCATGTCTTCATCATGAGTCTTCACCATGAGCCTGAGTCTTCATCATGTCTCCACCATGACAACATATCTTCACCATGAGCCTGACTCTTCATCATGTCTTCATCATGAGTCTTCACCATGAGCCTGAGTCTTCATCATGAGCCTGAGTCTTCATCATGAGCCTGAGTCTTCATCATGTCTTCATCATGAGTCTTCACCATGAGCCTGAGTCTTCATCATGAGCCTGAGTCTTCATCATGAGCCTGAGTCTTCATCATGTCTTCACCGTGAGCCTGAGTATTCAGACGGTCTCTGTGCTGTGGAGGACCCCCTGCAACTGTCTCACAACCTAGTTCCCCAGAGGGATTAATCAAGTATTTTAAGTGATTGATTGATTGATTGACTGATTGAGGCCATTCATTGGAGCTTTTGCTCTCATTATGCTTACACTGCAGTGTGAGAAAAAGTTTTTAGAGAGTACTTGTCCATGGACAAGTGAGTTTGGCAATTGACTTGTCCGAATACATTTTTCACTTGTCCAGAATGGACAAAAATTGGGGCCACTGGAATCTTCTTCTTCGCCATCGTATTTTACATTTTAGTAAGATTTTACTGCATCACACATACCTAGGGTTGGGTATCATTTGGATTTTAACAATTCCGGTTCTGCTTTTCGATTCCGGTTATTTTCGGTTCTCGATTCCGGTTCTTTGAGAGGGTAAAAATAAGTCCCATGACAAACTGGGAGAAAAATATATTTATGAAAACATTAAGTCAAATCTGTATTCCTATTTAGAAATCACTTCATACTGTTGAATTTCGTTACGGTTATTGAATACAATTATATAAAAATAATCTCTGCATTGTTTAGTTAGTTCTAAGTGGTGCAGTTTGAGAATGTACAATTGGCCCAGTCTCCTCTGATGTTACACTGCAACCTGCCTGTGAGACAGAGTCCAACCACACATGTCCAACACATAGGCCTAATAATAATAATATAATAATACATTATATTTATAGCCTATAGGCCTAGCGCTTTTCTACAACTCAAAGACGCTTGCATGCTTACACATGTCCTGCAATACACATGCTGCAGCTGCCCAGCTGCTCACTGTTTGTAAAAGTAAATAAATAGTATTTTCATTTCAATAATGTACTTTCTATACCCTGCTTCATAAACAATACTGACATCCCTGTGCTCCTCCGACGTCCCGTCCCGCCCCGCCCCGCCCCGCCCCCGTCTACAGTACAGAAAGCGGCGAGATGCATTTCCTTAGGAATCGACAAGCAGAACCGAAACTAACATTTCTAAACGAACAATGGCGGACACGGACAATTTGCGAATGAGTTCTGCCTTTTGTAAACTGAATTTATCAATAATTTGTCAATAAATGTGGGCGGAAAACGTCACTTGTCCGCCGGACAAGTCAATTGAAAGTTCTACTTGTCCGATATTGTAAATAACACGTCCCGGACGGTGGGACGTGTGCTTTTTCGCACACTGCACTGTAGTGTTGCTACTAAAATTGCATTCATATACTCGGTTCTAAACCAATGAAGGAGAAGCACATGCCGAACGGGCTCTAGTCTAGCTTGTAATAAGAATAGGTATTTCTGTTTTTCCCTTCTACTGATATGTTGTGTATGCAGCAATGGTGCGGACATGTTGGGTG